TGCCACGTCCCACGCAGTCTGCAAAGTGTAAAATTAACTAAATATAAATTTAAGTAGGTGCTAATGGAAACCCAGAAACAAAGGTGAGGCCCTGCCTGCGATAGGCTTCCGAATGACTTGAAAAAGCAAACTGGCACATTCCCGATAAGAGGCCGTACTGGATTCCCTGCAGAAAGTCACATGGAAATGCTTTTTGATCAATGAGTCCATTTGAAAACTGCAAAAGAAAAAAAAAAAAAACCAAGCAAATGGAAATGCTGTGTTAAGGGTTTGCTGGAAGAGAAGACTCCTATCTCTCTCAAGCTTCTGTCTGCCGGAAATGTTCTTACTGTTTGAAGGTCTTTGCTCATGCTGCCTACAGGTTTGCAGATCAAGTTACAAATGATTTAATCAAGGTGACTGTGTGTGTCAGAAAGGAGTTAGCTGCATCATCATAAGCAAAGCATAAAATCGCAAAATAAAGACATAAAGACAGTGGGAAAAAATGCTGAAGTGCGTAAGAGTAGAAGTGGGCCTGGCAACCTCAGCAGGGTGCAGGACTCAGCCCTGCTCCTCTCTCTTGCTTGAGCTTTTGGTCATCCTTGGTGAAGAACAAACGATGGATGGACCTGCTGTGACCTGTCCTTGTGGGAACAACCTCCAGGTCCTCAAAGTCTAGCTATTTGCATGCAGAGCAAAGGAACATCAGCCTCAAACCGGGTGCCTCCAACTTCAGCTACTGAGACCCCTATCAAAAATGAAGCCTGTGCCACCTGCAGCCCTTCCCTGTGGGAGGACTTATTGCCCCTCCCCAACAAAAAAAAAAAACAAACAAAAAACAAACAAACAAACAAAAAAAAGTGCATTTCATTTATGCTGCTGATTTTCTGTTTTGACGTAAAAGTAGGAAGCCACTTCCACCAGGAGATCCTTTACTCTCCCCTCCCTCTTAAGGAAACTCCCAAGGGACACTGATGTGACTTAGTAGAAGATCTTCGGGCTGCCGGTTGCACTCATTCCACAAAAAAATAAAAGTAAAATAAAACAACAACAACAAAAGAAAAACAATTTCCACTTCTCACTGGCAGCTTCAGCAGCTCCAAATGCCCCTGCAGCAGTACAGATCTGTACAGACATTTTTAATCCAGAAACTTCCCATTTTGGCCATGGACCGCACCCTTCCAATGTTGGCCTTTGCTATCTGCACACTAGCGAGCCGCAAATATACAGAGTGATATGTGTGAAACAAAAGCCTGCGTGTTTGCAGGAAAACGTTTTAACTTGGCTCCTTATGTAAGCAGCTGCATTAGCAGCTCCAGGAGCCAAGGACTAACCTTCCTCAGCCTGAACCACTAGCACCATAAAAGATTGCTGCAGAGAGCATTTTGCTGCAACCCGGTCACTCTAGCAGCACAACAAAAGCAGCACAAACTAGTCAATCCTGAGTGGCTCCTGCAGGGTTCTTGTCCCTGCAAAGACATCACCCCGTCTGCCCCAAGAAGTGCCCAGGGGTTGTCCTTGGCCTCTATTAGCAAAGCTCTTGTCGTAACTCCTGCACATTTAAGATGCTGCAAGCACCTGCTTGAACCTGCTGTAGTTCACAGCAATCCTTGTGTTTTCTTTCCTTAGAAATCATCTTGCCACTGACACAAGTATCACTCTTTTAGCCTAAGCAGCTAGATTTTCATTCTGGTTAAGGAGAAAAGACAGATAACATTGATTCTGTCCATCCTACGGCAACCAAGAGCTTATATAAAGATCTKCAAGGACCCATTGACAAGTCTCTTGCAACACAGTCAAAGCCAAGTTCCAGAAGCAGCTTCCTCCTCACACTTTCCAGTCCCCCTGCTCTCTACGAAGATGCTGCCTTTGCTGCTGTGTTCTTCAGGTTACAGCTACCTCCTTCTTGCCAGTATGTGCAAAGACAGTGGCATAGTCTCTGTTAGCCAGGTGAAACCTTGCCCCATCAAGCCAGGAAAGCTTTAGTCTGCTCGTTGTCTTTAGCAGGATGAGCTGTGATGCTGACTGTCTGAAGACAGCTATTCACGTCTTGGGGCTCAATAAGAAGTGCAAATGGATCCAGCTTTAGCAAAACCGAACCAAACCAAACAACAAAAAAAATCTACACAGAGATTTCTGCTTGGTCATTTTTATGCTGGAGCAGTTCCTACCACAGAAGGGAAAGGAAAAAGTTGCAGATGAAGGAAGGAAATGAGCTGATGCTACAGACTCAAACTCTAGTCCTCTCCTTCACCCACTCGTCATTCTGGCCTCACTTCCTTTTTGTGCTGGCACATATCTGACTCATAGWATCACAGAATCCTTAAGGCTGGAAGAGACCTTTAGAGATCATCTAGTGTAAGCCCCTGCACACTCAGGGTCACCTAGAGCATGTGGCACAGGATTCCATCCAAGCAGATTTTGAAGATCTCCACAGAAGGAGACTCCCCAACCTCTCTTGGCAGCCTGTTCCAGGGCTCTGTCACCCTCACCGTTAAGAAATTTTTCCTTAAGTTCCTATGGAACTTTTCGTGCCTCAGTTTGTGGCCACTTCCTCTAGTTCTATCAGTGGCCACCACTGAAGAGAGGCTGCCCCATCCTCCTCACTCCCTCCCTTGACTCAGCCCCCTTAGGGAAGTGAATAAGTAAACACGAGGCCTAGAAGGGCCTTGCATCAGTGTAAGCCTTGCCAAGGACTACCAAAACCCAGTCAAGCATCAGTGCTGATGCAAGGGAGATGGAGCCGGGTAGGAAGGAGGCTGCTGCTAAAGGAGCGGCAACTGCCACTAACTGAGCTTCGTTGAGTGGTTTCACCACACCCTTCCTAACACACTGCTCACGTTGTGAAGTGGAAGGAGAACAAGATTGGTCAATCAGCATTTGATAAAAACCAGGGCTAAAGAAAAGAAAAAGGTCCTTTYAGAGCTGAGCTGTTTGTTTGAGGAGGATATGACTGGTAATTTGGGACTTGCCTTGTTAGACATTAACAACAGAGCATGGACCTTTCTCCAGCAACGGGAGTTGTGCCAAGTACTTGCACTCAAGGGATTCTCTCTCCAAGTGGGTCATGCTGTGGAAAGTCCTTGCTGAGTGTTCCAGAAGTTGGAGGTCCTCGTCTCAATACTCCTTTCCTACTCACCTTTCCAAATATAGTTGGTCACGTCAACCCCACGTTTAGGCTTGAAAAGGGACCACAGAGCCATGCTTTTCAAGTGTTCGTTCAGTTTGCCCCACAACCCTGGGAAAAGGTCACCCATTGTCTCAAGATCCTAGAGCCAGGTCMTTCAGGACATAGCAGCAGTCCTGAGAGTCTTGAGGCAAGCTGGAGCCTCCTGGCTCATCATTTTGGCTCATCTCCCAGTTCCTGAGAGAAGCTGTGGCAAAAGACCTATTTGCCTCCACTCAAAACCTCCTGGAAACGGGCAGCAAGAAATCACCATCACAACCCTCTCAATAAGACTTGTGGTCACGTTGCCATACTCCTCAACAGCCTCTCTGGGATGCAATTGTCATCTCTCTTGCAAGAGAGCTTCTTGCACCCAGATAGCACTATTTTGTGTGTCCTGTCACCAGACCTTGCTGAGAACAGACAGCTTTGCCTTCTGAATTTCTCCTCCACAGATGCATCAAGTCATGCCCAGTAAAGAGGCTGTGGGGCAAATGGAAAGACAGGAGATGCTGAACCTCACTGCACACCAAAAGTGGRTCTCTCATGATGAGTAGGCCTGTTCTTATGGATACAATGGAACAGAGGAAGCAACAAATCCCATAAGCTCTTCCACAAAGAAGAGAATCAAATAGAATCATGATCAAGCCTGGCTGGGGACCTTCATATTCCTGGGCTTCTCATTCCCAGTGKGCCTGTGTGGATGCTCCTAGGAAGGACTACCCCTTGCCTTGCAGCAGTAGGAACACTGCATCCAAATCCTACCTTAAGATGCTCACTTAGGATGCACCATGGTTCCACAAACCAGGCCTATCCATCWCAGATTGTGTGAGACATGGTTGCACCTGCAGTGAAGAGGAAGAGGAGGAAGAGGAGGAAGAAACACCAACTCGCAATCCAGRCATCCCACTTAGTGGAAGGCAGCAGCAGAAAAGGGATTTGACTCATGCCAAAGGTAAGCCAGTTCACGTATCTCACCCAGCCCCAGGCTACAAGATAAGCTCCCAACCACAGTAGATAGCAGGAGCACAGGATGGGTGGAGAACACAACAGCCCTACAGTAAACTTGTGGTTTGGATGAGGTGGATGGGGAGAGGCGGCGCCTCCCTGTGCCAGGGAAGGGGGGAATGAGCTGCCTCCTTGGTGTTCTGTCTGTAAGAGGGAAGCGAGGAAAGATGGTCCTGCAGTGCCTAGAGGAAGATGTTTTGGCTGAAAGGGAGATCAGACAAGTGTAACTACCTGCTGTGCTTTTCCTAACAAGTACAAGCAAAAGCAAAATATACCCTGCCGGGGTCCTTCAACCAATRTCAGACCATGTGCAAAGGCAGCCTGGTCTTGCTGAGATTCTTCAGGGCAGAGGGTGTGTTACGCAGCATGCCTTGATAATCCTCATCACAGAGATCACAACCATCTCCTCCATCTCCACCACCTGCTAGGCATGCGGTTCATTGCCATCCTGCCATCCACACTTTAGCATCCTTGGTCTGCAAAGCCATGGCTGTGGCCTTGCTGATGCTCCATGAGATGCCAGGACGAGTCTTAGAGAAGGATGCAGAGGAAGAGCTACTGTAAAGAGAAGAGACACTGGGGGAAGGACCAACTGCAGATCTTTGTCATGGAGGGCAGCCTTTTGCTTCTCTATTGAGGTGTCTTGCCTGGTCCACCAGCCAGAAGGAAGCAGACCTTGTGACACTTCTGCTGCTACGAGCACGTGAGAGAAACAACTGGCTTCCTACCAGAGGTGTCAAACTGCCGGTCATCCTAACAGAGAACAGTCTCAGCACAGGAGGGAGGTGACTATGGACAAGGCAGGAGGCCAGCCTGAAGTGCTTGGAGTAGCAAATGCTTCTCAAGCATGTTGAAAGCCCAGAGCCCCAGGTAACATGTGGGGAAGCACAGGGTGCTTCAAGCACAGATGAAGCCTGTTTTAGAGGGGTTGCACTGTGCAGACGTGATCCAGTCTCTGCAGACCTCTGCACAGCACCGGCCCAGAGACCCAGCAGAGTGACTACCAAGGGACAGGCACTCCCAAGCTCAGCTTTGTCAAGACGGAGGAGAGGAAAAGGCAAGCACACGAGAAGGCATAGAAAGAGGCAAAGCTATCTCACCAGGAACAGAGCTGGGAGGACACAACAACATGCATCAACAGCTGTGTCCTTAAGTGAACTTGAGGAGAAAGGCAGGGACACAAAAACTGAGCAGTACAGCCAGCCACCACCTACTCCCTCTGGCCACCCGGGCTCCCAGCACGGTCTGCCCATGGTCTCTAGAAAACAGCACTGATTCGCAATGGGCCTGCTGTGGAAATTGGCCTCTCCGAGCGAGCGCTCCCTCCCTGGGGGCCGGCGCTGGAGCGCGGGGCCCAGCRTGTCCGTCTGCTCCGGCCTCCCCACGCCAGGCACCCCAGGGAGGGGCCAGCGGATAGAGGAGCGCGAGCCAGGCGCTGCGTGTTTGCTTTCCGCTCTCCCAGGCTCCACGCCGAGCTCACGATAGCCGCGCGCTCCACGGCCCAAGCTCCGCTCGCCATGCTGAAATTCAAAAGGCACCTCATCACGTAAGTGGATTTTCTTCTTTCTTTTTTTTTTTTTTTTAGTAAAATATTGTTTTGCCTCGAAGAAAACCAAAAGCTTTTATTGATATGATGCTAGCTGCTCCCGTCACCAGATCCGGTCACATCTCTGTAGAGCTCTTTATGCTAAGATACAGTTTGAGATTGAAGAGATGATGGTAAATGTCAGGGCAGCCCTTCAGCTTGGTGTAAATGCAGGAAAGCCGGGCTCAATTTTGCTCCCTCTTCCACTGAAATTCCAGGAGTGGCATTTCTCCCCTTTGTGCTGAGCAGGGATATTATCTTTTGCAAGRCTTGATGCTGCAAAAGAAGAGGTGCTGCAAAGACCTCAGCAGCATGCTGATTCCCTCCATCTCATTCCAAGCAAGAGCACATTGCCCTCAGCTATGCATGCCCACCTGCAGAGAAAGTAGGGGACAGAAATGTGGTTCTGTGAAAATCATTTACATGGYGATCCCAGGCAATGCATCGGGAGTGACCTGCCTTCCTCCAGAGGGTCTATTTTGCAGAGGTTGGATGAGGGAGAGAGGAGAGCAAGGCTCGACTGAGTTCATGACTCTGTCCATTGGTAATCCACTTGCTGGCTGAGTGCATTTCCAGGCAAGAGAGCCTTATCCCACATATCTGCAGTGCCTGGGGTGCTGGACATACTGCTGCCATATGCCAAAATGCAGGATGGGGTATTCTCAGTTGCTTTTCCAGCCTGTTGGTTTCAAGGGTAGCCTGGGCACCAACACAAGCAAGCCCTTCTACCCATGTTGAAATGAAAGGGACCATTACCTTATCTCCTGGTGAGCCTCCTCCAGACCAGTGTCCCTGTTAGCTCTTTGCTATGTGTAAAGAAAATAGCTGCAGTTGCTGTTGAAGGGAACCAGGTTTTGGCTGTCATGTCAGTTAATTTCCTGTGCAACACTTCTCGCTGTCTGGAGTGTATGTAGCCCCAGCAAATCAGTGAAGTCATGTTCTACCACTTATCCACCTAGTGAAATCAGTTTTGGCCACCTCCTGTCTGAGGTCTCGCCCCTTGTAACTAAACAACAAACAGACTGGCTTTTGATGAAACCTGCTGGGCCGACTTCGGCGTTCAGCTGCTGTGGCTTTACAGCTGAGAATGTAGCTCAGCTTTCATTCCAAAGATGCATTTGCTGCACCATCAAAGGCAAAGCAATGCCATCTTTGGAGATGACAGTACGCAGTCCATGTCTCTATGGGGGCTCTTTGCTTAAAGACTACCAGCAGTTGGAGGCATTTTCCAAGAGTCTGAGTCACCCTCCCACCATTCATGATCTGACTCATCCTACAGAGCAGTTTTGGACAGTTTTGGACACCTTCCAGCATTCATTTTCGCAGCACTTTGATCTCAATGATTTATTACTGCACCCATGATCTCATCCTGCCATAGTAAAGCAAGGAGAAAGAAGGATATCACATGAGCTTCTTGTGGATAAAATAGTACTTGCTCGGTATAAGCTTCTTGATCTTTACACATCTCACCATAGTCATACAGGAGTCTGTCTCTATGCAACTCTGAGCATATCCAAACAGCCAGCACTATGTTGCATGTTCATCCAGCATGTTGTCATTTGCAAATAAGTGGCAGACGAGAAAAATGACCTTGAATCTTACACAGAGTCTGAATCACTGCAAGTTGAAAGTTTAGCACTGCCCAGAAAATGCTTTAGAACCACGTCCAGAAGCATAACTGCATAAAATACTTAGAGCAGTGCATGGTGCCGCTCAACTCTCCATCTTTTGCCAGGAAGGTGTTGCGTTGTTCTTGCTGCCCGTTTTTGCAGATGTCCCAAAGGTCTATCAAGAGCAGGCAGAGAGGACATTTTAGCTATATTGTAAGACATCACAGATCTTGATTCCCTTCTTGCCACTTTTCTCAGCCTCACCAGACTGCAGAACTCAATCAGCTGCACCTTGAGTGATGTGAGAGTCAGATCAAATCTCTTACAAGAACTTTCCAGCATCACTACTGTCCATTATTTCAGCCTAGACTGAAAGCGTGAAAGACCATATTGCAACCATGACAATTAAAATCTCCAACTTGCAGCAGGTGGTACCTCGTTGTGGAGCAGCTCATCCTTATTCCAGGATAAAACATCTGTCTGAACATCAGTGATTTTCCCTTCTGGGATACTTTGGCAACAGCTCTGTGGCCATCCAGTTCTCCAGAAAAGACAGAAGGTGATGAACCGTGCCAGCATTGCARAACTGTCATTGAATCAATCAATGCTGCAGGCCACTGTCACTGTGAAGTGTCATTCCTTGGCTGTTTTCGACACCACAAACTGTTAAGCTATGTCTTGGTGCTCCGAGTGTTTGGCATTTTTCTTGATTTATTAATAATAATGATTTATCTTTGATGGCACAAGGTTCTCCTCTGGCTGCTTGGCATAGACGAACGGCATGCTGTTTGCATGCTTGTCTCTTGTCTGAGCTTTTCCATGCCCTGGTGCATCTGCTACTAGCAACCGAACAGTTTATCAGGTTAGGACTGATATTCACATCCCATATGGCCCAGAGCCCGGATGACACATTCTGTGTCTCATTTTTCCAGTCTGAATTTGCCATATGCAGTCTGCTCTTCAAGTCGAAAATAAGCAGCACAGAGCATCATCTCCACTCATTTCTTGGCTTCCTCCATGAAGTGACCCAATGTTTTATCTCAAATAGAGTTTGAGTTTTGCACAGCCAGTGGCTGCTGCCTCTTCATTAGTGCTCAGCCCAGTCACCTGATTCCTCCCACATCCAAGTATTTCTGGATTTCAGGATATCCAAGTATTTCTGCCATCACCAGTGCACCACACAGCAACAACCAATGAGATGACACTGGACACCTCCAGGTGCCCCTCAGATTTTGGAGATGCTGCAATGTCCAACTTGTAATTACTACCACTGTGCAATGAACATGTGTTTTGAACCTTCCTCAGCAGCACTGATGTGACATAAGATTTTCCAGCAGAAATCATRAGAAATGAAATGCAAACTAATCCTTTTTTTTTTTTTTCCAGGAAGCTTAACCTTCTAGTTGCTGTACTCTACAGCATGACTGATTTCTGCTAGCAAGCTTAAGGTCAAGCTACCAATCCAATCCAATTTACAATAACCTTTATGGACAGTAAGAATCCTGCAGAGATGGTTTGCAGGGCCTGAGGTTGCTCACAAACAAGAGAGACCCAAAGCCCCATCACATAATGCCAATGACTCCCTGAACAGCATCATGGAAATCAGGGAAGACTTCATGCTGCCAGTACAAACTCAGAGGACAGGCTTAGAAATAGGCTAGAGTGCTCTCCCAGATTACCACAGTTCTGACTTGGCTTGGAAATGATCCCTAGAGTAGAAATCAGATGTTTCTGGCCTTTCCTTCCTCAGGCAAAGCCATATTGCCCACTGGAGAAGGCAATGCAGCTCACCACCCAGGAGTGGTCCTTTGTGACACCAGCTACAAAGAAGTATATAGCAGGTTTTAGTTAAAACACTGCTTCTCAACTCCAGAAATCTCTGTACTCTGGCTTCCCAAGAAAGACAAGACCCCCTCCCCCTATGCCCGTGTCTGCACCCACAAATACAGCCTACGCTAGGCATTAATCCTTTCCCAAGAGCTTCTCCAATGTCAGAAATCCAGAGGTGTGGGGCATGGGGAAAATACAGGTTTATCAGGTCTGTTTATAGAGACAGGGTCACGCTACATCTAGGCCATGCAAATGCAAGCAGCTAAAGTCAGCACCTAGGCTATGATGGTCAGACACCTCCGAGCAAACAAGTGACTTAATGGTTATCACTGTTTACTTTTTGGTGTGATATTTGTGTCCCAGCTGGAAATTTCCACTAGGCTGCATTCCTTGAGCACAGCCTTTGAGGTCTATCAGTTATTGCTGCCTCTGCACCTCCTTCCAGCCATAAAAATATGACCTTATGCTTAAAGCAAAACAATACAAGACAGTGATATCTGACTCTGGTTTGTGCCTTGCACACATTCCTTCTATCCATACAACGTAACTAATGATCSAAAATGTCTGCTTTCTTGCAGGAAATTAAAAGCAATGTACAGATGTCAGCTTGGTCGGCTCTGGATCTCCTTCAGCCTCCTCATTCTCCTCTTGGTCACTCTGCAAGTTGTGGAGAAGCTACAGCCTGCCAAGTAGGTTATAAGCGGGATTGTAAAACTGTGTTTATGTCCTCCAGTCTTTTACTGACAGCTGAGATGGTCTCCAAGCTGCCGTCCTCAAAGTCACYCAACAGTCTCTTCTTATGAAAGGCAGAGTTGTTCAGGTGGGAAGGAACCTCCAGGGATATCATATCCAACCGCTGCCCTTTACAGGGCCTGTTCTACTGCCAGACCAAGCTGCTCCTGGCTTTCTCACAACAGGTCTTGAAATCCTCAGAGGACAGAGGACTGCACAACCTCCTTGGGGCACCTGCCCTTTCTGATGGCCTCCCTGTAGGCACTGGCAAGCTGTTGTTAGGTCCCTGAAGCTGTTGCTTCTTGAGGCTGAACAAGCTTTAGTCCCCTCAGCTGYTCTTCACAAGACCATTGCTCCAGCCTCTAACCATCTTGGTGGTTCTTTGCTGAACCTACTTACTTTTATCCACATCTTCCTTGTATTTGAGAGCCCAAATGCATATATATTATCTAGATGTGCATATATATTATCTAGCAGGTGTTGGCTAGAGAGGGATGATCAGTTCCCAGGATCTCCTGAACATGCCTCTGTTCATATAGCCCATGATGCTCTTAGTCTTCTCTGCTATCAGGGGACATTGCTGTTTCAYGTTTAGCTTCTGTCTGAAAGACCCCAAGGCCATTTCCAGCAGAGTTGCTTCCAAGTCAGGCAACCTTTAGCCCACACCATTACCAAGGACTCTTCCTTCCTAAGGGCAGGACYGGGCATTTGTCCTCGTTGAATTCCGTTAGGCTACTGTTGGCCCATTCCTCAAGTCCATCAAGGTCTCTCRGGATGGCAGTCCTACCCCTGAAGATATTAACTCCCAGGTCAAGGTCATCTGAAGCCCTTTCTCCGCTTTCGCACAGCCCTGTCATAGTCTTTCTTCTCTCTTTCCTCTTGCTTTGTGCTTTTGCTTTTCCTACAGCCCAGGGTGTTCCATGGCAATTAAGAAGTAATTGCATGGCTCTCAACTTGGCCTTCTCATCCTCCAGCTGCCCCAAAGCAAGAGTGCAAAGTGGTCAAGTCCTGCACCCGTCTGCTCTGCCTCCCATATCCCACGAGAAATGGAAGAACCGTTTTCAGGATCTCTGCAGCAGAGCGTTGTTGGGCTGCAGTGAGGCTAATTTCTACACATGCTCCTTCCTTCCTTTGTCTATTTGCAGCCTTCAAAGGCACTGGGTGCTGTGGTGTCCTACTCCAATGGCTAAACTCCCATGTGCTTAGGAAGAACGGTGATGGGCTCAGGCAATTTCCAAGCAGCMGAGCAAACCATCTCTGATCAGACTGTAGAATGCCTGAGCTAAAAGGCCACTGCSTTGGGAGCCACACAGGGCATCCCTGAAGCAGTAGACCATTATTYCCATCTCCAGTGCACCTCCAATGCGCTGCCAGAGCAGTGCATTCACTGCTCCCAACACAAGGCCTCACTGCCAGCTGTTCCCTAGTCACAAGATGGGTACCATAAAGATCACTCCCTCCTGACAAGCAGTTAGCTAGTATCAAGACCAGGATATTTCTAAACATATTACGCATGTTATGAAAACATATTTCTTAACATCACTATTTCTGCACCCTGGAGTGCAGAGGCAGAAGGACTTGCGTCATGGTCCAGTCCTTGTGTGTCTGAGGCTGTTCAGTTCCTCCTTTGCTTCATCCTGCTGATCCTTCCAGCTTATGCCACAATACACACASTATGTCACTCCTGGGAGACTAAGCCGAGTGCTGGAAAGGGGAAGGTTGACAGACTGCATGGTGTTGACAACTCACGGCTTCCCTTTTACAGAAACTGCCGGTGTGAACTGGAGAATGCCCTACAGCAGACCACAGACAAGAACCAGAAGAGGTCCAGCCATAACCTACAAATTCCCAAGCCACTGGGGAAGGACGTTCCCTCGCACAGACAGAAGAAAGCCATGCCAGATCCCACCTCAACAGAGAGAGTACAATACATTTTTCAGCTGCGGCCAAACTTCAGCCAGACAACACTGTTGGAAAGCAGCCCAGACAGTCAAGTGGGGTTCTGGAGAAAGAAATCTGTAGAAAGGAACAAGAAGATGAAAAGCCGTCTTTCATCCAAGATGTTGAAATCCCGCCTTTTTGGCTCTAGTAAAGCTGCCAAAGAGGGTCCTTTTCCAAATATTCCTGGGAGTATCTCCACAGTTGTGAGAGAGGATGCCGACAGCACTGGAAAGACACTAATCTTTACAAACAGCATCATTGCAGAAGAGCGTATAAGAACAGCATCACCCAGGACAATGCAGGTGTCATTTCAAGACACAGATCCTCTCCCTCCTCGATTGGTGAGCTCACCTAAACATGATATGACATATCCAGCTCAAGACCGACAAGCAGAATTGTTTTATGGGACAGGTCTGAAAAGGAGGCTGCTCCCAAGCTGGACAGAAGCACCTACAGTTGAAAAACCATCATTTGAAGAAAGCTACAAAGTCAAAGGGACCTCTCATGAGGAAGCCATGTGCAAACCCAAGACCAACGTTGTTTTTCTGAAAGTCCATAAGAGTGCCAGCAGCACTGTCATGAACATCCTCTTCCGCTTTGGGGAGATGCACAACCTCACCTTTGCCTTCCCTCTCAACGGTGGCAGCCAGCTCTTTTACCCGCGCCACTTCATGGCCAAGTATGTGCAGGGGTTCTCCCCTGGGAGCACTCCACAGTTCAACATCCTCTGCCACCACATGCGCTTCCTACAGCCAGAGGTAAGGGGCAAAGCTCTGACATCTTGGGAGGTGGAGGAAAGGGTAGGGCAAAAGAAGTTGGTGTGGAACAAGGTGGAACATCCTTCAGAAAGGTAGACTCTTCAAGGATAAAACAAAGGAGAAAGAGGATTGACCACTGGTACCCTGTGTGTTAGTTCCATCTCCTAAGAGTTTCTGCAAATCGGTTTGATAGATAGTTGTGCTGTAAACTGAGGGATAATCTTGGGATAAGCCAGAGGAAGAGGTGTATAGGAGTCAGCAACCATCCTCTCATTATTGTCCGGTGGTACTTACAGGAATTCTTGTTGTCTAGACAGGACCAGCTATAAGAGGAGAAGAACTTTAAGGCGTTGAATGGCTCAAGCCAGCCATGCCCAGCATCTATCCTTCTGAACAGCACTTTTTAACAGGCCCTTTAAAACAGCCCCATATACAATCCCAGAGTGACAGGGCACCCAGTGGTGGCAGCACACAGGGGAAAAGCTTGGGCTGTTCCCCTGCCCGTGTACCCCTTACAGGGCTGCCCACAGTTGACGCAAACACTCCTTTGATGAGTCATTCCCTGAAACCTTCTCCCATCCCTCTGCAGCTCCCACCATCCCAAACCCCAGAGTGAGTGTCACGGGCACAAGCAAACAAGCTCGTTCTCCCTTCCTTCCCACCTTTAACCTTCCTTTCCTCCCTGCACAGGTGCAGAGAGTGGTACCGAGCACAGCCGTCTATTTCTCCATCCTGAGGAACCCAGTGCAGCTCATGGAGTCCTCCTTCGTGTATTACAAAGGCACATCGTCCTTCTCCCATGCCCGCAGCCTGGAGGAGTTCCTCCACCAGCCCTACCGCTTCTACAACCCAAAGGCYGGCGACAGTCACTATGCCAAGAACCTCATGACCTTCGACTTTGGCTTCAATCCTGATGGAGATGTCACACCAAAGCGGGTGCACCTGATGCTCAAGGCCATTGAGGCATCCTTCGACCTGCTCCTTATCTCTGAGTACTTCGATGAATCCATGGTGTTACTGAAGGAGACACTGTGCTGGGACCTGGACAGTGTCGTCTCCTTCCCGCTCAACATCAGGGACAGCAGTACCAGGTCCCCCCTCTCAGAGAGCATGGTGGAGAAGATAAAGAAGTGGAACAGGCTGGACTGGGAAATCTACACCCATTTCAACAAGACCTTCTGGGAGAGGATCGACCGAGACATCGGCAGGGAGCGCATGCAGCGGGAAGTGAGGGCACTCCAGCARAGGCAAGCGGAGCTGGCAGACATCTGCCTCCAAGGAAGAGGAAGCGTAGTCCCTAAAGAAATCAAGGACTCTTCCCTAATGCCACTGCAACATGGCAATGCCAAAATCTTAGGCTACAACATCAAGCAGGGCTTGGACAAGAAGATGGAGCACATGTGCCGGCGGCTGGTGACACCGGAGCTGCAATACAGCAGCGCTTTGTACAAGAAGCAGTTTCCCCGGAAGCTCCAGACGCCCAAGGCAGCTCCCTCAGTGCGGGGCATGCCACAGGGCAACACCTTCAGGGGACCCGTGGCGTAGGCTGGAGGGAACCCCAAACCGAGCGAACTTGTCCTCTCCAGGCTTCCTTCTCCATCTCCCTTGGCCACRTACAGCAAGGCTTTGTTGGGGCATCTGTCCAACCATGGGGAGGAAGCCTGAGCTGCTGCTCACCACGGGTGCCCTGGCGTTTGAGTGAGATGTTTCTTTCCTCCAGGGAGCTAGCGAGTTGGCAGCTTGGTGCCCACGAGATCTGCCAGAGCCCCTGGAAACCTCTGTCTCTGCAGGATTATGGAGGTCCTTAAGCGCAGAGCCTTGAGCGTGGCAGGAGGTCCCAGGGTCTCACCGTGACAGGACATTCCTGGGCTAGGTCCTGGACAAGCAGGGCGGGAGTTCCTGCCTCAGAGCATCGGAGGAGCCAGCCCAGGGGATGGAAGCTGATGGAGTGGATGCCAGGAGGCTTCAGACTGTAGCAGAGCTGGATACAACTGGGGGGAAAGCGGGAAAAGGGGAAGGCCACATTCAGCCATCACGGCAAACATGACCACAGCTCTCCGTGGCAGAGATGCTATCTGTCGCGCACATGATGTTTGAGAGGAATTAAACACAAGGCACATGAAAGCACCACGAGGAGTCCTGTTCTTAACCTGCAGGCCGGGGAGGGGACATGTAAGCAGCGCTGCCTCTTCCCAACGCATTCCCCCCATCCCAGAAGGGCTGCTCCCCACCTTAGTCTTGGTAGCTGAGGGGAGAAGTCACCAGGATGACCATGCCGAGGCCAGTCCTCGGAGGTGACACCCTTCACAGCACCAGATAGACCCCTTCCTACACTCAAGGCAGAGGAGCGCGGCAAGGTGCAGTCCTGCTCCCAGACATCCACATCTTCATCCACCTGTGGAGCAAATTCCAAACCAAACGCTAGTGCAGGACAGGGTTTCTGCTTCTTTTCTGCATCACCTTTTGCCCAGGGCTCTTGGTGGCTGCAGGCTGCGCTGTCTCAGCGACCTGGCATTAAGGGACAGTGCATGGAGCCAAGCTGTAAATCAGGTGGACACCACCGAGCAGAGCTTGGTTTGCAATTTGGGAGTGCTTCCAGCTGCCCAGCTGCAGATCTCCTCTGCTAAGCCTTAATGCTGCGGTGCTGCAGGAGCAAACTCTTGTTAATTAAAAATAACAACGTTTACTGTGACTCCTATTGAATTCCGCCTTAATTACATCAACAACCCAAAAGACAGACATCTCAGCCATGTGGAAACACTGTTTTGGAGAGGGAGGGCTTCTTTTCCACCTTCTTCTCCCTGCCTCTGTGCTGACTGCAGATGTTAAGCTGGTAATAAGGCATTTAGAGGATAAGCATCCCAACCTAGGGCACCAATACAGCCATGCCAGCCAGCCAGCTAAGTAGACATGAGACAGGGAAATGTCTTGAAAACATTCCTAGCACTGAACATACCAACGAACCCACCATTTGGGACCAATTGTAGGAATAATCCACACTCTTCTTGRGAAAAAGTTACCGAAAGAACTGGTCATGCTGGCCTAGTGCAGCTTATTTTTTCACTTCCCACACTTATCCTCAAATCAAAATCAGAGGTAGGGAAATCAGATGGGATCAAACTCAGACCTCAAGTCATTTTCCTTATAAACTTTGCAGTCTTGTACTTGCATGGCTTTGCTYAGGGCTCTGCAGTGTCGATCTGAAATATCTCTAGAGCCAACAAACAGTGTGGGGGATTGGTTTTTGTTTTTGTTTTGTCTCAGACAATTTGAGAAATGGTGGAAATCTAACAAGAAGGCTCCATCTCAAGATTTTCACCTTGGTTTCCAAATTTAAGACATTCAGGAAAAAAAAATGACTGAGGAATTGAAGCCTTCAAACTTCAATTTTAGCCAACAGAGCCTAAAAGTTTTCAGCTTCCATCCAAACTGTCTCCAAAAGAAAGCTCAGGATTAAACAATGATAATTGTTATTGTGGAGAAACAGGGCTGACACATGGGGCAAAGGGGACTGCTCGTCCAGATGCTAAACCTGGATCTATCACGCTCAAGACACTTAATTCATTCAAAATCCCACACAACTTAATCAGGTGCCATTTCCTTATTCACTGTTTGTAACTAAAATAAATAGGACCAGGTCTTCCCTGCTGTTACAAGGAAAGAGTCTTTGAAGGCAGGAGTGGGTCCCAATCTCCTCCAGCACAGAAGGGTGCTCTGACTCGCCAACCCAGCTCCTATGGAGGCAACAAGGTAAGGGACCCTTTTATGACCATGGTATCACGTTCTCCTGGGACTACTTACAGTCAAGTGGGACTTCTGCCCTGAAGGGCTGTAGAAGGAGCCTGGCCAAAGCTGCTCAGGCCTTGGTTGGCCATGGAGAGCCTGGCCAGAGAGGGGAGCAGAGGCAGATGAGCCAGGGAAGGCCMGGCAGGAGCTGGGCTTGCCTGCACGTGCCATGGAGCGAAATGCCATGGTTCTGGATAGACAAACACCCTGCGGCACTCACCGGTGCTGAAGCGGGAAGGACAGATGCTTCCGCACAGAATTTTCCTAAAACATTTCATGCACAAATGGTATTTTGTTGCTCCCGTTCAGGGATGAAAGCAGTGAGTCAGATTCCCTGCTCAGGGCAGGTGTCCCTATTTTTTTCTCTCCTCTCCCCAAATCTCCAAGAATCTCATGAGGCTGCAGGAATGAACTCACAGGGAACATTTTATACAGACAGCGACTTGGTCCATTCACTACCTCTACATGACCACTAACAACGAGGTGGTTTTTAAAAGAACAGGACATCATATCCTGCTGTAAGCTGCTTTTAGGATTAAAAGCAGCTTTCAGCAAGTCCTTGCTTGCCTGAAGGGGAAGGCAGGACTTCTCTTCACAGGAAGTCACTGAGATATAACACTCACGAAAGCTGAGCATGTATATAGTTTCTCCTACCTGCCTACCACCAAGCAGGACTCACRAGCCACGTTCCCCAAGTGCCTGGTGAGGAGAGTGGGTTCAGCCTCCTACCACTTGCTCTGCTGAGCAACCATCAGACACTTCTGCCTAGACTTTATCCTTGCAGAACAAGTGACATTGGGGCATAATCAGATGRGAGATCTTTTTGGTGGCTCCTGTCCAGAGCAGGATGCACTGGAGATGTGCTCAGCTCCCCCAGAATGGTCACATCCAGCCCAGCTCTGACACACAGAAGRCTCATCCTGATTTTGCTGTCACGTCCTCTGGAAGCCACAAGTTCATCGACCTGCTTGTGCAGAGACCCTACAGAAGGAATTCTCTTTTCCCAGCACTTTCCCTTCCAACAAAAAGGGAAGGTGTGTGCAACCATGAGGGATATAGCTGCAGGCTTGTTATCCTGTGGTCAACTTCCCTTCCTCCAGCATTATATCGGCAATCTGAGCAATGGAAGCAAGCAAGTGGGCTGGAGAGGGCCGCTGATAGTCCTGGGAACGAAAGAAATGAAGGAACGATATCACCTACCTAATGATTTTCAATCATTATTTCCCCTAGCCATTATTTTTACCACTAGAAATATTTCATTTAGTCTCTGAGAGTAGCCCAGGTCTAGATCCCCCTGGTGCAAGCGCCCTCACACCACTGTTGGGTTGTCTAAAAGAGAAGTAAATAAATCAGACCATTTAATGCGCCRTTCGTGCATGCCTGACGGCTCACCAGTAGCACATGGAACAGGCTGAACAACTGCTTCAGGGAGGAGGACCTCTAAACCCCGACTGCATCCAGGATGGTTGTTGGGAGTTGCTTTGACTTTACAACTGCCAGGGACATGTTCAGATTATTCAAGCGCTGAACGACGCAATGAGCTCAAGTTGCTCAAGTATACCCAGGTAATGGTTCTCAGTTTCCATATGCTTCCCGAATACCAAACACAACGAGCAATTTATGCAAATCCACTCATTTTCCCCATGGAGCCAATACAGCATGTTTTAAACTTTCCAGRTTCGGAAACTCTCCAGGCATTTTTTTAATGAAGCCTAAGGAATTCAGACATTCTATTAAGGTCACCTTGTCCAAACCCCATAGGAGGCCTTAACCATCTCCTCCTGCAGCCCTGCCTCTAGCGACCCCGCGGCCAGGACCGGCGCTCAGACGAGATGCACAGCGCCTGCGCATCGTACCGCAGCTCTTGGTCCGGCAACGCAGTCAGCCTAGCCCAGAAAAGCGCAGCAACGGGCACACATCCCGAGCATGGCAGAGGTTGGAAAATCCATGGGAAAATCAGTCTCATCGCAGGGCTTGCAGCTCAGGCTTTCATCTCCACGTTGTTCTTCTCCCCTTTCTTCTTCCGCCCCTGCTCCTTGCTGTTCCCAGATCCATGGGCCGCTCTCGCCTTGGGTATCCTGTATTTGCTCTTCTGAGTGTACAGCAGGTTTCTCTGGAAGAGCCTTGGGATGTTCCCTTGGTAGAGCAAGACAGCAGCAAGCATCCCTGCCATGAGAGGAGGCCATGTCCTTTAGTCTGAACGTACCCCTTCAATGTGCCCAATCTGCCCTCCCTCCCCACGGCTAAGCAGTTATTTTGAGATCAACCATCCTGTCTTCAATTAAAAGCAAGGCTTGCTTTTGACTCCAAAGGGTTAAAACRCACCAGGTCTTTGACAGTGGCTGGCTTCTACTTGCTACCTGGAGTGCAGAAAGTATCTAGTTCACTGTGGTCTTCCTGAGGTTGGAGATGACCTCAGAAAACAGAGCTCAACCTATCATTTCCTAAAATGGCTTAATGTGAGTCTCCCSAAGCTGGGCGGACTCTGGCTCCAGAGAGATTTTGTATCTACTCTACGTAGGATTTGGCTAAAACATAGTAAAAGCACAATTCGAGTGACAGGAAGGATATGAAAAAGAGCATTGGCCATGGGCAAAGCTGAGGAGCGGTTTCCATCAGCAGCATTTCCTCCTTGCAGGCCTCCAGCAGGCAAGGGGATGTGCCCAGGGCTCTCACCCCAAACTGTCCTCCAGGCTCTGGAGAGCAGATCTTACCTGCAAGGGGCCCCAGCCAGTACACCTGGATGTACTCCTGCAGAC